TGCCCGTCGGCGGGGGAGGCGATGGTTAGGCATGCGCACCACCTGACCTAGCCATCTCAGTCTATGTAACTTTATAGCCTCGTCGATGGATTTTCCCTGTTTGCCCAACACTCTACGCCTAACGTCAGCATTACTTACCTTATTACACCACCTAACGTGAGACGGAGATCGTAGACATCTATGATCGAAAGCAGTCAATCTTTTCATGTCTTCAACTCGTATTGACCATGTTTCAGAGCCATAGAGAAGGACGGAGCGAACTGCTGAGCAGTACACTTTCTCCCACATATATGTTGAGTGATCTGCTCTTGGTTGTTTGGCTTGTTCCCAGTCAGTCAGTCAGAGTTTCTTGTTGCTAATTCATTCTAGCTGGTTGGCTGGCCATTTGATCTTCATTATGGTGCCAGCCAGCGAATATGTCTGCTGTGAATAAAATGCTGTTGTAGCCTGTTGGAGATCTTTTTTAGTGACACGCTGGGCAAGTTTCTTACCCGTATAATAGAAGAAATGACTGATTTAGGCATTGGTGTTGGAAATCCGAATCTTGTTTATTATGCTTAATTCAGAAGATTTCCAAACTGGTTTCAGGTTGATAAAGATCTGGCTTGCGTTTCTGATTCTGGCCTGATTTGACGTCATCATCCGTTCCGCGAGTGCCTGTGGTTGAAACCGTGCTTCCTGGATAGCCAACCAGATAAGTAAAGGCAGAAAGTAACACCTCTGTTAAATCTCCCCCGTTGATAGTGATTGGTGCAGGTTGTCATTGCTGTCGGTTGGTTGGTTATCTCCATCACTTCCGTCTTTTTTGTGTTCACCTGGAGTCCTGTCTTCGTCGGTTGTTTTCTTTTCACCTGTAATGTAAGTCTTCGAGTTTATGTGACATTCGACATTACATCATCCACACGCGAAATTTAGATCTTCTAGAATCTTCTCATCGGTAGTCTAGCATACGTCTGACTCCCTCGCTCCCAAGCACAGTCTGATGCATAATCCAGTCTAGCACCACAATTAAGAATATCATCTTGCGTGATAATATACAGTCTTTTATCGATTAACGTATTACTATATTTTTGCTCGCATCACTGATAATTTAGCATGTAAATGGGAGTATTCTTTATCCTTTTCTAATGATATAGTGTTCCATGAATGTCGTCAGTTGTTTTAAGTCCTACACTGGTTAGGTAAACCAAAAGATTATCCATACTAGTTTGTCCTTGCAGTTCAGCAGTAGAAGCCAGACACTTGGCGTTTTTAAGTTTTAGTAGCCGGTAGTATAAAAACACTAGGGAGTTCTGCTCAACTGTTTCGTCTTACCTTGGGACTCGTCATCAGTGTGCACTGGAGACTTGTCCAGACATCGAACTTTTAGGACCTTCCGGTTAGAAGCTATGGCTCGTAGACCATCCATTCGACCATTGAAGGGGTGGGGGGGGGAGGACGCGATCCAATTGTCAGTCCGCAAATTCCACCTTTTACTTATTTCATGATTTTAAATGTGTGTGACTTGATGGACCCCATGGCTGACGAAATCTCATTTGGACTCTAGTCATCTTCAGCCTGTAGCCAAGTCATTCACGAATGAATATCAGGTTAACAGTCAGGCCTTGTGTTCGAAATCCAGTGGATAGGATACTGATGAAGAGTCAGTTTCTAGGACTAGGACGAAACAGCTGTTCATTAATGTTATGTTGCTGCTGCTGAGTGGTTAATAGTAGTTTTCCCCATCGCTAAATTATTGTTATGTACTGGTCGAGAATTTAATAGTCCTTACGCAAGAAGGCGGAAATCAGAAGACCACTAGGTTTGCGATGATACTTCTATTTTCCAAACACAAGGAGAAAGCAATAAGTGGTATCACACCAAAGTAAGTAAGTCACACAAGATTGTGTGAGCGAAAATATATATGACCATCCAGACAAGTGTGTGAACAAATCAATGGACAGTCTTAACATGAATGGCTAATTATAATGGGGTGTCGATCCAAATATACATAGCGAAATATAGCAGACATGTCAACAACCACACATATGATATGGATATATGTCACCAAGCAACGGACTGTCAACAAACACTCATATTATGTATAATATAAGGGGAATATACATTGTTAAAGGAGACAGGTTCATCAAAGTGAAATAGTCACAGACTAAGAGAGCAACAGAGAGAGAGAGAGAGATCACCATAATATATATATATATATATATATATATATATATATATATATGGTGATTACTAGTTCTCTAAGTAATATTAATTTGTGATTTGAACTTGAGACAAATGAAATTCCTATAATCTGACTCATGAGAAATTTAATAAAAAAAGCAGAGAACAGCTAAGTAAGTTTTGTTTTTTTCTATTTACGCAAAACCTCCAGCTATTTTTTTATGTCTCGATGACTAAAGCGCTTAGTAATAAGAATAATAATAATGAAAAATTGCGACATTACAGATGTGCTAAATGAAATCGCAAAAAAAATATTGGCCTTTCGGTTGATTCACGCGTGTTCTTTTTTTTTAACTTTTGTCTTCATTATATAATGACGCTTATTATCATCGATGTCAGTTATAGGCGCCTTAAATAGACAGACGCTTTACAATTCTATCAGCATCGTTGTAGCACCTATCACGCATATCAGTCAGCTTTAGTGTTAAATTTATTATAAAAGATGTATTTTGGCTAACTATAACTACTCAATGCAAAATAGGTTGATTCATGAAATGAAATCTGCCATTGACGACTGACTGACTGGGTGACTGGTTTCAACATAGAACTTTCCACCGATGTGCATCACACTTCATTCAGCACACAAAGCAAGTGAAGAAAGTAGAAGAAATGCATAATAGAGACTGTGAACAGAGGTGTGAGACAAAGGAATCGTAGCAATGAAGAACAAAACAGTTTCATTGGAATTCATAGGTCACAAGGAGTGGATGCATCTGCACCAGCCATCACCGAGAACGATTTTGAGCCATATCACCAATTGTCTCCAGTCGCCATTGGTTCTTACCACCATCCTGAGGACCTCAACCAACCAAGAAGTCTACACCTCTCCCTTCGTGGCTTAAACTAACTGTTATGGATTCCATTGACTGACTGACGAAGCCATGTTTTGGTTTGATCATCATTGACCTTCTCTCTTCCAATCTGACTCATCATATGTCAGCTAACCCTGCCAATCGAGGAAGGCGATCAATGCATGCGTAACACATGTCCTAACCATCTCACTCAGTCGATGTACCTTCATAACCTCGTCGATTGATTTCTCCAGCCTACATAGCACTCGATCAACGCCTAATCTCAATATTACTTACTTTATTCAACCACTTCACACGGGAGATAAAACGCAGGCACCTATGATCAAAGACAGCTAGCCAGGCTTTTCATGTTTTCCACTTTCATTATTCATGTCTCACTCACAGTCATAAAGGAGGAGGGAACGAACTGGTGCGCAGTACATACGTCCTTTGGTCGACAGTCAATTGGATATCACGTTTACTAATGCAGAGATGGCGTTAACTGGCATATGGGAAACTAGACTTCTGTATCCGTGCAGAGATTTCGTCAGCCATCAACCCGTTGGTACTGGCTGATGCAACTTTCCAACCAAGGGGATAATTTAAAACTAAAAGGAGCAAATGGTCAAGTGATTTTGGTCTCGTCTTTAGGAATTTAGAAAGCTAGAGATACTATAGCTCAGTATAGATACACTTCCTCAGTTTTTTCTCTGTGAATTATAAACGTAGCTTGATCAGGTGGTATGTGTTTAGAGAGAGATGTCAACTTGCTCCGAAGACTGTGTACAGAAAGAACTCTGGGGATATTCTTAGTGAAAATGGATATCCAACAAAGTGTTTATAAAAGCCAGCATAGGTTGTAATAGTCGGGAGGCATGAACTGAAAAGGGTGGAGAAAAATGCCATCATTTTTACGCCTACAATTCATGGAGATATTCTTACTAAGATTCTTTCTCAACGTTGTACCAAGAGCGATAAAGAAGGCACACACACATCTGGTCCTATCATTCGGCAGCCGTCCAATGTTTAGCTAAAAAGCTGAAAGAGCCTATTGGTCGAATCATTCGAAAACATTTATCAGCTTGGTTCAGTAGGCGAGGGAATCATATTTGATATAAAGTTCGATTTTGTCATATTTGGTCGATTCAGAACATCACATCGACGCTAATATAACCTTTAGGGTTATGCACACACCACATTCCGAGGTCATTATCGCACACAGTTTGCCACCAGAGAGCACTGGGCAACTGTTTCTTTCATCCTATTTTGTTTTGGGACTCTTCAGCAGTGTGTGTAGTCATGATCCCACTAGGGATCGAACTCGGTGATCTTTGGGTTATGAGATCAAGCTCATTAACTATTCAGCCATCCATGAACTGTAATTCTGTCAAATTCGTGCGATATAACGCTGGCCACACCAATGCCTTCGATGAGACATCCAGTTCACCTTGATGACATGGTGGGCGGACTCCACTGGTGGTCAGGAATTTCCACTGCAGTGGATCTCCAGGAAATCCATCCAGTAGCCATAAGGAAGCTGGCTGTTGATATTTATGCTGTAGGATTGGTGCGTGACTGTAATCTAACAGGCCTAAACATGAGTTGTCACATCAGCTAGAGAACCATTGGAGAACCTGGAAGTAATGACTGGCTGTTTCGTCCTAGCTTAGGACCCTTCAGCAGTACGAACCCACTAGAGTTCTAACCCAGGGTCTTGCGGTTACAGGTCAAGCTCGTAAACCATTATTTATTCAGCCACAGGAGGGACTAAATTCAGTGACCAGTTCACGGATCCCAACTTCTGCAAACTCTCTAGCGTGACCTCCCGCCAGCCAATTTCGTAGGCGGCGAATAACTGATACCTGGTAAGTGACACTTGATTATCTAACAATTGAAATTAATTCAAAATCCCGAAAATACCCAATAATCTAAAGGTTATTTGTCTTTTATTCTTCTCGCCCCCTCACCTCCCTGTTTCCCATATAGGTGACAAGCAAGTTGAAAAAATTCGCTGAAGACAAACGTATGGTTAGTGCCGGGGATAAGACAACAATGCGTGATTTAAGTCAAATGTTGAAAAAAATGCCACAATATCAAAAAGAGCTATCCATGTATTCCACACATTTTCATCTGGCTGAAGATTGTATGCAAACGTATCAAAATCATGCGAATAAACTGTGTAAAGTTGAACAGGTAAGCAATTATCGCCTTAATAATAGTAGTATCGTTTATAATTCTATAATAATGATAAAATAATACTAATGACTTTAAAGAAGGAGAGCTGTTTTAACTTTAACTGTGTTTCACAGTGAATTGCAGACCAACAATCGTTGTGTTCCTTGATGTTATTGCTGCTTTCGATTTGTTAGACAGAACTGTGCTCTAAAAGTGTCTGTTAGAGAGGGTTGCACCTGAGAAGTTTGTTAACATCTTGTAAGCGCTATACAGAAACACCTCAGGTAGAGTGAGGGCATACAACCAGCTATCATCACTGTTCCCAACCAACAGTGGGGTTGGACAGGTTGCCCAATCTCTCCATTTTCCCTTTAACTTTGCCATCGATGACATTCTGGAGTGAACTCTGAAGGACGTGCGTGGTTGCAGTGGTGGTTTACATCCGCTTCCTGAAGTGGAGAAGGGCTTTTTGATCTTGAATATGCGGACGATATCATCTTACTCTTCGATAAAATGGAGGCCGCCCAAATCGCGCCTAATCAGTTGGCGATCAGTGTCTGTGAGTGTGATATGTGGTTTGCCTCGTCTAGTTGCAAGATTAACAGGAGCCTTACAGGTAAACCATTTGAAGTTGTCGACAATCTTCTGTATCTAGGTAGTTGTGTGACGGACTAGATCTCTCTAACTGTATAGTGAAAGCTAGGATGACATCGGTCAATTCGATGGCATGGTGACGTTAACCTGACTGTCAAAGATCGGCTTTACAATACTTCGGTACACACTGTCTTGCTCGTTGCCTGTAAAACCTGACATCTCTCAGGTTAAAATATGCAGCGACTGCGCTTATTTGTTCACCGCGATCTCCGTAGAATTGCTTGCATTCGATGACATCATCTTGTGACTAATTCTAAGGACCGGCAGCTGTGTTTTTTGAGAGTATCTGGAAATACCGGTTTCATTGGCTTGGATATGTGCTGCGAATGTCATTCCTGAGGCTTATGTACCAGGAATTGAATCTGTTACCTCTCGTGTAGGGTTGTAAATAGCGTTGTATCATTGTTCTGCTGACATATCATGTGAGTTCACTTTCACATGCTGCTGTCGTCCGAACTGGCAGCAGCAGCCCCATCGCGGACGGATTTTGAACGCCACTCATCTGCGCAACAGCCTGGAAGTCTTGCCCGAAGATCCATATGTCCCCATCAAAAACTTCAGAGCATCGGCTTTCCATTTATCGGCAGGCAGTGACATCAAATGTAACGGCAGAAGACAAGGGTCAGACAACAGATCGTTTACTGAGGAAATCAACACATATTTATAGATTTTCATGCACATACTATAGATTATTTTTAGCAGAAAAACACACAAAGCCTTTGTTCATATTTTTGTCACGACCAATATTGGGGACATAAACATTGACGTAAATTACTGTCCACCAATTTTGACTAACAGTCAGCTCTCACCACACTCTTCCCCCTGTCAAGTAGTTTAGATTGAAGTCGGCTAGACCTTCTTGGTGCTGACGTGTTCGTTGGTTTCTCCTGCTCTATCCATTTCTAGAGCTCGCTGACGTTCACCCGCTTCTCTCTGCTTGCATTTTTGATGGTATATACGTTACACCGTCTCGCGGTGACCGTGTATGGTCCTTCCCACTTTGGTAGCAGTTTTCGCGACCCTGACACCTATCCGCTGCCTTCGTTCGGCCTCTCAACAACGTCCCCAGCACAACCACCTTCGCCGCCTGCTCCTTGACCCCCACCAACTCAGCAACGGCCTCGAAGTCACGTAAGAAGCTCCGTATGTCTTCTTCTTCAAACGCAGTTGGCCATGGGATCTTCATTGTTCAGAGGCAGCGACACTATTTGTAACAACAGAAGACAACGGCTAGGCAGCAGATCGTTTATTAAGGAAATCAACACAGATATTTATAGATTTTTATGTACATTATTATAGATTATTGTTAGCAGAAAAACACAGTCTTCTGATTGGTTGTTTCTCACTGGAAGTTAACCTTGCATCTCTTCGTGACTGTTTCTTTAGTGTCAGATCATCTTTATGCTAACTGTATCCGCCTACGCAAAGTCTGATGTGGTTGGTTGTTGAATCAGTCTTTGTTCATATTTTTCTCATGACCAATCTTGTCGACGTAAACATTGACGTAAATTACTGTCTACCGATTTGGCTAGCAGCCATCTCTCACCACAGTAGTACAGATATTCCTAGTAGTGGCGATTACTTTTTTAAAGGATAGGGTTGCTAGCCAGCCTCATGCTGGCCCGAACTTCCCTCTTTACCAGTCTTATTGCCGGTTTAGCGAGGTTTTTTTTGGAGTGCGTTGGCGGCCGGCGATCGAACCCCGCACCAAATGAAGTGTGGTTGGCAAGCACTCTACTGTGGTGCCACTGACGGACTTCGCTCGAGTTAACGTGATTTAAATCTCGAAGTTTTTCTTTTTTATCAATACAACAATTTTTCTTTTCTTCTTTGACAACAGGATTTGGCTATGGGTACAGATGCTGAAGGTGAACGTGTTAAAGATCATATGCGTACAATGGTGCCAATATTAATTGATCAATCAGTATCTGCCTATGATAAACTACGTGTTATCCTGTTGTATGTTGTTCAACGTGGTGGAATAAATGAAGAAAATTTAGCCAAGTTAGTACAACATGCTCAAATACCTTCATCACAAGCCTGTATTATACGCAATTTAATACATTTAGGCATACCAAGCATACAAGATGCTACTGGAGCTGTAAGTCAATTGTATATGTTCAAATGTTGGTTTGTAGGGATTTGGTTGATTGGTTACAGGATTTCATCGTTAGCTGACATTAGTTAGAGAATCATTGGAAAACCACCTGGGAGTACTGGACAACTGTTTCCTCTGTCCTAGTTTGGGACTCTTCATCAGTACGCACCCACCAACTGGTGGGGGGTGTGGCGAACCCAGGACCTTCCGGTTACAAGGCCATCGAGCTCGTAGACCATTAAGCCACTGGGACTGGATACAATGGCCAGTTCATGAATTCTAACTTCTGCCAATTCACGACATAGTGCGACCCCCAGTCAGTGTCATCGGTGGCAAGTATTTGTCCTCACACCCGACCAGCTGCACCCAACCGGTCACGACTTCTCACTAGAATGTATTTGGATGCCCGGCGCTCTCCACCGGGTTGACTGTCCACTGGATGACAGTCTAGGGGAGATGGCTAAACCCTGATTCCAAACCTCCAACGACTGGCGTATGAAGCTCACTGGAGCTCACCGGCAGACGTAGGGACAAAGGGCTTGTTGGATGTCCTGGATGTCTGGCCCCATTCAAAAAGGCGTATGAACCGAACTCCGGTCACCGGCTGCCAATGGATAGTGGACTCCTTACTCCACTCCTACTGCCTTGTAGGTCACACTTGGCTGTGTAAAGGCTAGAGCTGCACTCTCAAACAAAAGGCCGAGCGATGCTGGGGACATTACTCGTACCAAATTCCCATGAAACTTCATGAACTCTCTTACAAATTGCCGCGCCTGGGCAGCGTTGATTCGAGACGTTCATGAAGCCGGCTCATCCTCCCGTAGGAGATAGCCGAAGTAAAGTAAGTAAGTAAGTATATGTATCTGTGTAAATGACTGTATTTTGATTGGTTGGAAGATTTCATTATGAGCTGACGTCGGTTAAAGAACCATTTGGAAAACCTGCAGTACTCTTAAGTACTGAACAGCTGTTTCGTCCACCTAGTTTGGGACTCTTCAGAAACGCGCACCTACTGATCGGAGTTTTGAACCTAGGACCTACTGTCTACAAGGCTGTTGAGCTCGTAGACCATTAAGCCATTGGAAAATAACCCGATCCAATGTCCAGTCAGCCTATGAATTTTCAGTGTTGTCAATTCATGGTATAGCGTGATCACTCCTTAAGTTATTGACTCTTGTATATTATGTACAGTGATTTTTTATACACAGCATACTCTGACGTTGATTTATGTCTTTTCAAATCTAAGCTGGTGTTACTGGAACTGAAATACACTGACTCCTAGATTGATAAAGACAGGAAGTGAAGTGATGCCTGAGTATTGTTAACTGTACACTTCGCTTATTTTGTGCGAAATTGCATCATCCCCAAATTGACTAACTGGATTGATGAAGAAATTTTAACACGGATTTAACAGCATACATCATATCTGGTGTAGATGTTATACCTAACTGGCTATTGATCAATGAATGTGCATACTGTGCACCCCTCTATGGCTGTGAATGAGACATGGGCAATGAAAGTGGAAGACATGAAAAGGCCAGCTAATTGTTTTTGATCATGGGTGTCTGCGTTCTATCTCTCGTGTGAAGTGGTATAATAAGGTGAGCAATATTGAGGCTAAGCGTTGATCGAGTGCTAGGTAGAGAGGGGAAAGCATTCGAGGAGGTTGTGAAGTTATATATCAACTGAGTGAGATGGTTAGGACATGTCATCGCCTTCCTCGACGAGCAATGTTAGCTGACATAGAGTAAGGTTAGTAAAGAGAAGCCAGTGGTAGTCAAACCGAAACATGGCTTCATCAGTCAATGAAATCCACAACAGTTAGTTTAAGCCAGCCAGTCACGTAGAAAGATGTAGACTTCCTGGGTCCTCGAGATGGTAAGAATCAGTCGTGACTGTAGAGGCAATTAATGATATGGCTGACTCAAAATTCTCGTTCTGAATGACGCAGATATATTCACTGTGTGATTTCTAATATCTCCCTGTTGTTATTCTATCCTTCTGCTGTACACATCTGCTTATTCTTGTTTCTTTGATCGTCTTGTTCTGTCTTCGTTTTTGTTGATAAGTGGTGCACTGAAGCTACACTTAAACTGTTGCACTTCTATGCACTATGCAAAGTTCTATATTGTAACTGAATGAGTTCGGGTGATTTGTGTCGTGATTGTTCTATGATTTAAATTTGAAATTGGTGAAATTCAGGAGCAAAGGGGGTGGTGGTGATGGTAGTCGCTTGAAATGGATTTACATTTGTATATATCTGGGAATGCTGAAATCTTTTGAATTGAAAATGAGAGTACGACAAAGTTGGCTGGCTGCCTACTATCTCCAATGATTTTCTTTATTTCGGTAGACTGGATGATGCGACAGACAGCGGTGGGCAGGCGTAAAATGACGCCGCATAAAACACTTGGAGGATCTGGATTTTGCTGACTGTAAATGCTTCATTTCCCACAAACTGGAGAAGATATGCAAGTGAAAAGCAACAAGTTGGCAGGAGAAGTATCCAGTGAAGATGGGACATCCTTCAGGTGAACATATAGAAAACAGAGGTGATAAAGATTCCTCGCCAACAGCAATAGCAACTTCAGCAACAACAATCAGACAGCATGAATGAGAGGAGTCTGAAATAAGCAACCTCGTTTACCGCACATCTACCTGGGAAGCATCGTTTCAACTACAGGTGGAGGGAACTGATAAGGATATCTTCAAGGCGAGGAACATGGGGAAAACAAGACAAGCTTTCTTTACTCTCAAGTCTGTGTGGAGGTCAACACTCAGCACTCAGTATGAGAAAGCAGATCCGGATTCTCAACTCCAATGTGAAGTCAGTGATGCTTACTGTGAATGGATCAGAGACTTTTTACATCACGAAGGCCACTTCCAAAGAACTTCAGACCTTCATCAGCAGCTGTCTTTAAGCAATACCACTTAAGATTAGATGGCCGACAATTTATGTCAGTGTTCACCTGTCGAATCAGGGGCATGAGAAGAAAAACAATAACTAAGCTTAACCTTAAGAGAATCACCAGTCAGTCGCAGCGGAGATAAGTGTAGAAATATGATTCACAGATATATTGCTTGATTTTTTAAGAAACAACCACAAAGGGATAACCGAATAACCTTCAGCAAGAAAACAACCAATCTGAAGACGTTGTTTCTCTGCTGAAAATAATAACGCTAATAATAATGTACATAACAATCTATAAATATCTGTTGATTTCCTCAATAAACGATCTGTTACCTGACCCTTGTCGTCTGTCGTTATAGGCTTAATGGCCTATCCTTAAGTTTATTATTATAGTTATTCAATGTAATTTTTGTTATTGTTAGAGTATTGGTCGACGGAAGCTTCCTCAGCCTTATTTGCCTGGTAATCGACGTCAACGTGAAGATGGCCCAAGATATCAAATGTCTCGTTGGACGCCCTACATCAAAGATCTTATGGAGGTAATTTAGAAAATAAAAATATGTTTACCTAATACTAATTAATATTGCGATTTGAGAAGTTTGGATGGTTGTAGGTGATCGGCCACAGGAAGCTTTGGAAACCAGCTAGGTTTCATGCTAGTTGGGTATCTGTAACGTTTAAGGAAAAACTCATGTCCTTTCTGTAATTCGAACCCAGTGTCACCCAGTGAGAGCTGAAGTCAGATAGGTTCGGGCTTGTGACTGACATCTTGTAGGACTGTAGTGGATACTTCGATTGGACACTAGTCAGTAACTAGTGTGATGTATCTAGTCCCTTGTTTGGTGCAGACTGAATTCTATCGTCAGTCAAGTTTGCAATGTGGTGGACACCATTCTAGGTAGCTCGCCATTATGGTGCTCATTGATTCGATGATATGAAGTCACAATCATAAAAGAACATACTATAGAATGTTATTGTACAAGTTAATATGTGGTATATACAGATGTCGCGCATCAGCGGCACAGCGGTAGAATGCTTACCAACTACACTCCACATGGTCCGAGGTTCGGTCCTCGGCTGGCAACGCACTCCAAAAAACCTCAATGAGCCGCCAGTAGTGAGACGTAAAGAGGGAAGGTTGCGGCAGCATGAGGCTAGCAACTCTATGCCGTGGAAATAAATATCACTGCTACCTAAACTTCAAGCCTCTAGCTTAAAGGCGCGCCCTATGTTCCGCTGGGAACGTGAATGAACAAAAAATATAGATTTCATGACAATTATATGGCGTCTAGGGGTGAACGGATAATAATTGCCGTGTTTCAGGATTTCATCATGAGCTGACATTAGTTAGAGAACCATTGGAAAACCTGGGAGTACTGGACGACTGTTTCGTCCTAGTTTGGGACTCTTCAGCAGTACGCACCCACCGGGATTCGAACCCAGGACCTTACCGTGTTGGTTGAAAAATCCAAACAAGTATATATGTTGTGATTAGATTGTCCAAAGGTGTGGTGTGTGTGTGGACAAGGAGTTATAGTATCACTCGAGCTCTCTCTCATATTACACAGTAGCTGTGGCTCATTGCCGATTACATTTAAACGCTAGTGGTAGTCGTCTAGCATATTTGCCGGGTATTTTAGTGATAATATTTTTCTTCAATAACAAATTGATTTCTGTTTAATTGGTGGATGGTGACTAGCAATGGAATCCAGGATGCGCATTTCGATTGATTGGACCGAAGTGCTTGGTCTCGACGGGAAAATCTAAAATTCAATTAAATTAATATGAATCGTTGCACAAGAGGTGACTGGCTGTCGTGGCCCAAGTGGGTATAGTGGATAACACTTTGGCGTTTGAAATTATGGGCACTAAGTTCGAGCCTCGGTGGGAACATCATCACTCACTGAGAAATGCAGGTACATCCACTGGCTGACGAGTCCCAAATAGGACTAAATGTGGATCCTGGCTGGATTCCACTGCTAGTGCACTATCCACCATTTAAATGCTAATTAAATGCCCAGACATCGTCGAAGCATCTGCACAAGAAGCCGACAGATATGTGAACTTGAGACCGAGCACCTCGATCCAATCAATTGACGGGAAAATCTAAAGATTCAATTAAAACTTATTTCTATTCCACTTTTTTGTCTTCTTCTTAGGATGCTGTTGAAGATAAATTAGATCAAAAGGCATTTCAATACTTTGGTGGTGGTCCAGTTCGTGGACCTGGGACACGTACTGGGAATGCACCAATGTCAGCTAGATATGGTATGTGGCATCGAGATAAAAGTCAACAACCACGTTCTGGGCCTAGATTAATATTTTTCATTATCGGTGGAATATCCTATTCAGAAATGCGTTGTGCTTATGAAGTAATGAACACACCAACTGGTAAACAATGGGATATTATTGTCGGTGGAACTCACCTCCTAGTACCTGAAGGATTTTTAACCGATTTAGAAAAATTGTCGTATCCACCGGGAACAGTATTGCCATCAGCGAATACTAGTGGTGGTAGTGGAGGCGGAACACAGATGATTGTTGGAGCTGGCGGGGAACCAGTATGAGTTGAGTCATAGTTCCTCCTACAACATCTCCCCCTCTCTCTCTACACACTCACTCACTCACTCACACACACATAATTATTTCAATAAATATCTATGCTTTATTGCAAATGATAACATAAGAAGATGTTCTTTTCTATACTTCAGTTTTTGCCAAAAAAACCGTTATTTACTCTCATATTTATCCTGTCGTTTCTTTATTTCGCATTTTTTCCTCTCTCGGCCTCTCTATCTGTCGCTATCTCTTTGTCATCTACTCAAAGTCTCATCTATTCTTTTAGAATCAAGAGAGAAAAGGGCCGAGGTGGGGGTGGTTGGGTGGTTGATCAACACACATAGAGAGAGAGAGAGGGAGGTATATATCTATACTAGCATTTTATTGGATACTCCTCTTCTAAACATTCCTCAGTTAATTTCTCTCTTTCTATCTATATTGTATAATTATGATGATTAGTGTGTAAAAGAAGAATTGACCTTCTCTGTTGTCGGTGTTGATGATGACAGCGATGTGCTTATCTAGTCGAGTTGCTTTCGCCGATTGACTTTCCTTTTCTCTAAAGTACCCCCCCCTCACACACACACACACACACCCGCACACACTTCGTTGTCTGTCAGTTAGAAGCATTCCGTATTTATTATTACTATCATGATTATTATTATTACTCAATAATGCACACACACACACAATATCTCTCTGTTTGTCTGCCTGCTTATCTGTTTGTGCTGTCTTCTTTGTTTTCTCTATTCTTCTTCTGTATTTCTTACGGCAGCTGTGTTGTGATGAATCTCCTCCTCGACCTCCTTCTCCTTGACTCTTGTGATATAACTCCCTATTACTCTCTCTCTCTTATTTCTGCTTAGCTGACCAATTCCTTGCGCCTAATTCGCTTTGTTTCTTCTGTGTATTCTACGTCTGTCTGTCCGTCCGTCCGTCTGTCTCTCTCTCTTACACACACACACAAACGAACAAGCACACAGACAAATTCTTCTAGTTTTTTTCTCATATATTACCGCCAACACTAAAGTTATTATTATTATTATCATTATTATGATTGTTGTTGTTGTTGTTTTCGTCGTCGTTGTCACCGTTGCCGTCGCCGTCGTCGTTTATTTGCGGGTCGTCTCAGTGTTACAGGGCCCATGTCAGTTAGTTTCCACTACTCTATTCTACTTTACTCATCATTTGTCTATTTATGGATTTATCGATTTATTGATTGATTGAATATTTATTGGAAAGAAGAAGAAGAAGAAAAAGGTTTGAAAATTTGTCTTTCCTTATTTTCCTTTAAATTTTCACATATTTATATTTACACACACACACACTTACATACATGCATATATACTTTCCTCCTTGAGATATATATATATATATATATATATATATATATATATATATATATATATTTATATATATGTATTACATAATGCATAATAATAATAATACAAAATATATACTTATACGTATGCAGTTGAAAATGTGTTTGTTCTATTTTATTAGAATTATCATCGACCGAAGGGCGGCGGGTGTAGTGCTCAGCAGCAGTCCGCTCTGTCCTCCTTTATAGCCTTTGAAAGTGGAAGGCATGAAAAGATTAGCTAGCTGTCTTTGATCATAGATGCCTGCGTTATATCTGTGTGAAGTAGTATAATGAGGTGAGCAGTATTGGGGTGAGGCTTCGGTCGAGTGCTAGGGGTAAGGAGGGGAAATTAATCGACGAGGCTGTGAAATTACATCGAGTGAGTGAGTTGCTTAAGACCTATGTTACGTATTCCTAGCAATCGCCTTCTTCGACAATGGGCAATGTTAGCTGACACAGGTTTAGGTTGGAAGAGAGAAAAGACGAGTGGTGGTCAAACCAAAATATGGCCTCATCAGCCAATGAAATCCACAACAGTTAGTTTAAGCCAGTCACGTAGGAAGGTGTAGACTGGCTTCGTGGTTTGGGTCCTCGGGACGGTAAAAACCAATTATGGCTGGCGTCAATTGGTGATATGCCTCAAAATCGTTCTCAATGGCTGGCGGAGATGCATCTACTCCTTGTGACTTATAATGCCCTATGAAAATATATTGTTCTTCGTTATTACTATTCCTTTGTCTCACACCTCTGTTTACTGTCACTATTATGCATTTCTTCTACTTTCTTCTTCTCTTGCTTTGTGTGCTACATGGAGGGAGTGTGGCGGCTTGAACTACTGCACATCGCGGTGCAAAGTTCTATGTTGAAAACGGACAGACAGACAGATCATCCACATGATTGGTGCCAGAGTCACGCTTGTGTGGGTAGCTTCGACGGGATCCGACAATAAGGACGCTACAGTATGACATGGTGATGTTTAACACGTATCCATATAACGTCAAAGTGCTTCGGTAGCACAGCGGTTAGGATGCTCACTGACCATTCACATAGTCCGGGGTTTGATCGCCGGCCGCCAACGCACTCCTTTACCTCGCCAAACCAGTAATAAAAGCTGGTAAGGAGGAAAGGTTGGGCCAGCGTGAGGCTAGCAACCCTATCCCGTAAAAATTAACACCACTGCTACGGAAACTTCAAGCCTCTAGCTCAAAGGCCCACCCCATGTTCCACTGGGAACGTGAGGGGAATAAAAAAGGGAAACATACCATCAATAAATACGCTCTGGCATAAGTATTATCTTCTATGGGTTGTTAGCTTCTACAATGATATCATTGTGTAACATCTTCTTCACTACTGAATGACATGGAATGCTTCAAGTTGGAAATGGTGGTATTTTCCTACGACTCAGTGGAATTTTGATGCCCCATGTTATCACAGTGAACAGATGATCGTATTCTTTAGTTTAACAGCGTTTAATAGCTTTCAATGCCTTAACCCCTGTTGTCTCATATACGCTGATAGGTCTGTATTTCGTAGAAGATCAACTCCAAATATTGTTCGGCTTGACTTGGGCACAACAACATCAACACGAACGTTACTTCGCGATCATCGCCAATAAGAACACTACAGTTTGACGTGTCTGTGATGTTTAATACATGTTCACCTACCGTCAATAAACTGTCAGTGAACATGAGGTCTGAAACTCTGGCATAGATTCTTATCTATCTACTAGTGTAAGTGACACCTCCTGTACTTATTAAACATACTACTTCTTTGTCATTCACTCGGATACATGCCGCTTGCCAGCTTCGGGAGCCCCCCCCACTACTTCTAGTCTATCTGGAATGTTTTCTTCTGTGTCTCTCCGGAGGACAATAACTCCTGCAGTATGTCCTGATTAATCACATCGGTCTATTCGAGCACTCATTCAAAGTGCCGCTACTTCACGCTTCAAATCTTCCACTTCCTGTTCTCATTCGTTCGACTTCGTTGGCTCCATTGCTCTCCTACCGTGGTGCTCAGTATCTGTCTTGTCATCTTCTTTGCTAACTCACCGGTGTCCATTGGGTTGTGCAGTGGTAACCAGTTTAATTTCTGAGTTATGTGTTCTGGGACACTTTCGATAAACTATGAAACCAAAACTGCGTCTTTGGTAGGTTGTTGCTAATCTGACCCGAAAGGTTGTCAATGACAGAAAGAAAACTGTTATGCTTGGTTGTTGATTTTATGAAGCTTAAACTGCAGAGATTATTTTCCGACTACAATGTGACTTAGATCCAGATTTGAGAAATAAACGATTCTACTTCTGTAACCACTGAATTTAAATGTTGTTTCCAATTTTGGCTAATTTCTATCAGTCGGTGTCTATATACTACTGATAAATCTCGTTAGTAGCACACGCCAGTAAACTAAAAAAGCCATTAGGTAGCTTAGTAGTGTTACTCTTTTGGGGCCCGAGTGGAATATGCCGCTTAAACAGCACATCTCCACATTTTCCTGTTCTCTTCAGCTTTTTTTAGCTCCCCGTAAACCCTCATTTCCTCGTCTACCTCATACGATCTCTTCCATACTATCCTCGGACAAATTCCCAGGTAGTAAAATGCGAATAATAAGTGAAGCAATCTCTGAGAAAAATGTCACCATAATTAGCTCTCAGGATAGATGACTAGAACTTTGGAAATAACATTTTGAGGAGTAATTTAATGGGTCTACAGCCACACTCAACTTACCGAAAATCCAACACCTCCCTGAATGGGATATAGACAAAGGTCTTCCGTCCCTAACTGAGGTTACATAAGCTGTCTTGCTGGTAGAAACGAGGCAAAGCTGCAGGACCCGATGGAGTGACTTCACAGGTGTTTAAGGATGGTGGAGACAGTTTGAGGTGAGGTGAGGCTTCGGTCGAGTGCTAGGCAAGGAGAGAGGGGAAATCATTCGACGAGACTGTGAAGTTACATCAACTGAGTGAGATAGTTAGGACCTGGGTTACGTATGCATCCCTAGCCATCGATCGCCTTCCTCGACGGGCAATGTTAGCTGACTGACATAGGATGGATCAGGTTGAAAAAAAGCCAGTGGTAGCCAGACGAAAACGTGGCTTCATCAGTCAGAGAAATCCTTGACAGTATGTTTAAGCCCGCCAGCCAGTCAATTAAGGAGGTGTAGATTGCTTGACTGGTTGGGGTCCTAGAGATGGTATGGACCAGTGGTGTCTGGAGACAGTTGGTGATGTGTCTGGTCAATGGCTGGCGGAGATGCATTCTTCACTCTTTTTGACTTGTCGTATCCAATAAAACTATATTGTTCTTCGTTATTACTTTTTTCTTTGGCTCATATTTCTGTTCATTATCTCCCCGTCTTCTGAATCTCTTTATAATCTTTTTTCTTTTTTTTGTGTGCTATGTGAACTGTGGTGACTCTAACTGCTGCACATTTGTGCAAAGTCCTATACTGAAACCAGTAAGTCCTAAGTCGTGTCATCCCTTCGTTTGGTTTCATCTTGAGGACCTAGTACGCAGGGTCTTTTAACGCGTCTCCGTCATTCCCCTCGTCATATTTCTTTGAGCAATGGGTTATTGGTTGATTCAAAGTCCGTCAGTGTTTTCTACCTGGTCATCTATCTGGTCTTTAGTATTTAGTAGGCGAAAACAGTTTTGTTGATAAAAGTCTGCATTGGCCTGTTGGAATTGCTTTTGGTGACGTGTACTCCGAGTATTTGACCCGTACAGAAGAACTTGTGGTAAGAGCTGCTGCTAGCCAAATCGGTAGATAGTAATTTATGTCAAAGTTTACGTCCTCAATATTGGTCGTGAGAAAAATATGAACTGATTCAACAACCAACCACATCAGACTTTGCGTAGGCGGATACGGTTAGCATATAGATGATCTGACATTCAAGAAACAGCCACAAAGAGATGCAAGATTAACTTTCAGTGAGAAACAACCAATCAGAAGACTGTGTTTTTCTGCTACAATAATCTATAATAATGTACATGAAAATCTATAAATATCTGTGTTGATTTCCTTAATATAGACTATCTGTTGCCTTGCTCTTTTCTTGTGTTGTTACAAACCAACTGACTTTTCACACCTGTCATTCTAAGTGAAAAAAAATATTTTTTACAGTGTTGTAACCGATCACTGACTGACTCACTTCCAATCAAAGAAAACCATCTTCATGAATTTCGAATTCAAACGTGATCAAGCTTCAGATATACTCAAAGATCGACTCCATAAATTAGTCGGCAGGGCATTCATTGCTGTCATACTATAAATAACCATGAGCAGCCATAAGTTGTTCTCCGTCTCTCTGTAACAGATTTCCTCCGTCATCTGATCGCCTCCATGTGGATCTATCAGTTCATTCGCTCCTTCTGTGGAGCAAGGTATATTGGCCGAAGCCAGAGAACGCTTTCCACACGAGTACGAGAACATATTCAAGCAGCATGGTTTTACAAGGGAGAAAGGAAGTGTGTGCGAAGCTCTATTCACCGATCGACTTCTGTCACTCTACATCAACCCTGACCATGATTTTAAGATGACCATCTATCGAATCCATGCTATCTTGCTGGCCGCGTTTTCTTCGTTACAGACTTCTAAAGACAGCTGAGGCCTTGGCAATTCATGACTTTAAGCCAGACCTTTGTGTACAAAAGAAGTATGTACAATCCCTACTTCTGCCTTGGCCGTAGAGAGATAGACATTTATTTATTTTGTTTGTTTAGTTATTCTATGTAGCTTTCCCTTATTACTACGATTATTATTATTATTATTACTATTCTCATTCTGAATCTTTTCCACTTGAACCACTTGTCATTCTAAACCCAAAATTATTAATTTTTATATTTTTTATTTTCACATGATTGAATTCTATCTTATCAAATTTCACACCATGTTATGTAACATTTTATATTCGTCTACTAATATTATAATTATGTTGTACCCCTTTCCAAAATCTATATACACCTTATGTATTATTCCATATGTATGACATTAATTATTTTGCCACTTGACATTAAACTATGATTATACTCACAAATATTTTAATTGCATTTCACACTACTACTATTATTATTTCATGTATTCACATCTTTGACCTAATTCCCTCAACGGATATAATTTCTTAAAATAAAACCATATATACATACGATTGTACAGCTTGATAATAAATTCCTTATTGAAAAGAGTCTCTTCACTGAATATTGTGTTCTTAAGATTACGTAATCAACAATTAAAGAATAAGTAATTAGGGCAATTAAATAATTAATTAGTATAGTGATAATGTATGTGTCAAAGCCTTACTGGGGCGGGGAAGGGGTGGAAGTTAAGTCTTCAGTTTTTCAAGTGTTGGTTTGTAGGGATTTGATTGATTTCAGGATTTCATCATGAGCTGACATTAGTTAGAGAACCATTGGAAAACCTGGGAGTACTGGACAGCTGTTTCGTCAGGCTAGTTTGGGACTCTTCAGCAGTACGCACCCACCGGGATTCGAACCCAGGACCTTCCGGTTACAAGGCCAGCGAGCTCGTATACCATTAAGCCACTGGTACCTGTTCCAATGGTCCTTGAATTCTAACTTCTGCCAATTCCAATGGTTCTCTAACTAATGTCAGCTCATGATGAAATCCTGAAATCAATCAAATCCCTACAAACCAACACTTGAATACCAATAAGATGCTCACTGGCGACTGGCCCTATTCAGGTAGGTAGTTACCTGGGTTCCACTGGGAAGTCGTAAACAGTAGGGTGCAGCTGGTCGGGTGTGAGGACAAATACTCGCCGAAGACATTGGCTAGCGGTCGCGCTATGTCGTGAATTGGCAGAAGTTAGAATTCAAGGACCATTGGATCGGGTCCCAGTGGCTTAATGGTATACGAGCTCGCCTTGTAACCGGAAGGTCCTGGGTTCGAATCACGGTGGGTGCGTACTACTGAAGAGTCCCAAACTAGGCTGACGAAACAGCTGTCCAGTACTCCCAGGTTTTCCAATGGTTCTCTAACTAATGTCAGCTCATGATGAAATCTTCAGTTTTTCTTGCATTTTTGTAATGATAGCCAAGGTAACGTAAGTAGCTCTACATGAATGAATACCCAGGTTTGGCTTGTTCTTTAGGTGAATTCCGATGGTTTCAGCTATATATGGAAGATGAACTGTGACAGTGATGTAATGGATCTCGTGTAGAACACCAAGCATGGGAGAGAGAGAGAGAGAAGATAAGAATACGTTGGATGGAGTAGCGGAAGCAGTCCCGAATAGCTGGTCTTCAAAGATGATATGTGGTTAATGTGAAATAAACAGACTACTGGAGATTTGTCTTCGCTATTCCCTGTAATGAAGATCAGATAACCAGCTAGAAAGAATCGGCAACTTGGAACTCTGGCAGTTTTAATGGATTAGTCAAAAGCCTGTTGCCTAATAAACATGCTGAAGAAAATAGAGATATATCGGTGGGAATACTCTGAGCAGGTTGTAGCGTCGATGGTACAGCGGTAGATTACTCACCGATCACACAGGTGGTCTGGGGTTCGATTACCTGCCGCCAACGTACTCTTTCATCTTGTTAAGTCAATAATAAGACTAGTAAAGATGGAAGGTTGGGCCAGCATGGGGCTAGTGAACCCTTCCTGTAAGAATAAAACACCACTGCTACAGAAACTTCAAGCCTCTAACTTGAAAATGCCCTATGTTGTTCCACTGGAAACGTAAAAGAATAAAAAGAAACTCTGAGGAGGCTGTTGGGTAGTGACATCACGTTTAAATGGGAAACTGTGAGTCGTCCGAGGGTGACATGGAGAAGACTGTGTGAAGAGGAAATGAGGGCTCATTAGGGAAATCGTGAAAACATCTGTAGATTACTTGAGAGAACACAGTGAAATCGAAAATGTCTACTGAAACCCTATTTTTTCATTCGGAACCCTTTTTTCTATTTCCTTCACGTTCCCAGTGGAACATAGGGCACCTTCAAGCTGGAGGCTTGAAGTTTCTTTAGCAGTGTTTATATTTACAGGATGGGGTTGCTAGCCAGCCTCATGCCCAACCAATCCTCTTTCTTGCCTAACGAGGTAAAGGAGTGCGTTGGCGGCCGGGGATCGAACCACGGACCATGCGCATGGTTGGCGAGCATGCTAACAGCTGTGCGACCGATGCACCTGGAACACTTAGGGAATAAAGTATATACGTATGTATATATTCGAGACTCTACTATGGAGAGTATCCAACTGAAGACTTTTACTGAAACTGGACGAATTCAGTAAATCCTGATTTATGCAGTCACAGTTGGTATTTTTTCTTCAAAATCTGTACAGAGAATGAGATGTTTATCATGTAAATTTTTATTTTCTCATTACGATATTGTTTGTATTTCACAGTATCTATGGTTAAAGTGAAGCCTCAATAACAGGAATATTATTTATTATTATTTGCTCTATTTCCTAGAGGAACATAGGGCTTCAGATGCACGTCTCCAATGCGTTCGGTTCTCTGCTAAAGTTTTCACCTGACCACACGTCTGCCCGCATACTTTCATCTCCCCTTCACATAACCTTCTACATGTCATCCTTGGACAACCAACTCGCCGCTTCCTTTTCAGATTCCAATCAACCGATGGATTGTCGTCTAGTGATGTCACTTGATGGTTGGTTTCCTCAGAGTATGGCGGATCCAATCCATCACCATTTCTTCCTGCCTATTTGTTGCACAATCGGTTTCTGCTGGGTTAGTTCGCTCATATCCAGAGATCCCTGTTGCTGATGTTTTCTGGCCGGCCAACTGATCTTGAGTATTGAACGAAGACAGCTGTTGATGAAGGCCTGTAGTTTGTTTGAGATGCTCTTTACGACGCGCAGTGCAAGTCTTTGGTCCGTATAGTAGCACTGACTTCACATTGGAATTGAAAATCCGGATCTTATTTTTTCATGCTAAGTGTGCTGTTGACCTCCACACAGACTTAAGAGTAATGGAAGCTTGTCTTGCTTTTCCGATTCTAGCTTTGTTATCCTCGTCAGTTCCGTCGCCTGTAGTTGAAACGTTGATTCCCACGTAGGTAGGTTGGTGAAGGAGGTTGTTTTTTTCAGGTTTCTACCATTCATGCTGGCTGATTGTTGTCTGTTGTTGTTGGTGATGTTGCTGTTGGTGTTGGCCAGGAATCTTCATAACCTCTGTTTTATCTATGTTCACTTGAAGTCCTATCTTCCCTGGATGCTTCTTCTGCCAGCTTGTTGCTTTTCTCCTACTTGCATATCTTCCAGTTTGTGGGAAATCAGACATATATCATCGGCGAGGTGCAGATCCTCCAAGTTCTTTGTGTGAGTCCATTTTATGCCTGTTTCCTTGTTGCCCGCCGCTGTCTGTCTGTCTGTCTCATTATCCAGTCAACCGGAATCACGAAAATCATTGGAGATAGTAGACAGCCAGCCAGCCAACTTGTCTTACTCCCGTCTTCACTTCTTCAAAGGATTCCGTGAGTTTCCCGTTGTGGATTACTTCGCACGGAGCGTTGTCGTACAACTGTTGGATAAGATGTATAATTGTCGGTGGCACCGTGTAGTAGCGAAGTAGTTGTCAAATCACCTTTCGATCGACGCCGTCTACTGAAGGCCTTTGTAAAGTCAGTGAATCTGAGTGAGATAGAGAGATAACTGCGATTCCAAGCTCTGTGCAATGATGATCCGTAGTGTGACAGTTTGATCATTACATGACTTGTTTCTACTGAATCCAGCCTGTTCCCGTCGAAGATTTTCATCGAGGAATATATGTATATATTCTAATTTTTCCTTGCTTTCACAAATATGACTAGGGAAAGAATACAGTTTTGGTGAATGGTGACTAGCAGTGGAATGTAGGATGTGCATTTCGTCCCATTTGCGACTCATCAACTATCTGGATGTATCTGTGTTCCTCAGTGAATGGTAATGTTCCCAGTGAGACTTGAAGGCAGTACCCATCGTGACTGAATTGGTTTAGAGAATAACTCTTTGGTGTTTGAAACTATGTGCACTGGATTCACTGGGGAATGCAGGAACGTACACTGATGACGAGTCCAAAATAGGACGAAATGAACAAGCTGGATTCCAGTGTTAGTCAGCAGCAAACAAAATTTACTTCACAAGTTATTTGCTCAGATATCGTTGAAGCGTCCAGCCTGGCAGCCAGCTGACATGTCGACAAAGGCCATAAATTTTGGTCTGGTCGATTAGAGGGAAAATCAAAAGTGAATTACATAACAGAAAAGTAATTTATTGATTTATCTTCTCCATTTTTTTCTTGTTTTTTGTTTATTTTAAAAATTTCACTGTATTTACATGTTAGGCTTCCAAGAATGGTTTATTAGATGTGCATATCACTATTGGTTCATCAACACCAATTACAATGTGTGCGTATATTCTTTAGACTACTGGAATCGACGCCATTTGACAGTTGTCTTTCATTTGGGGTCCTTCAATCCATTCGTCCAGCTAACAAATTATAGATTTTTAAAAGGAAATAATAAATCAATAAATGTGGGATATATATTTTATTGAATTATATAAATATAAAATAATTATTATTCAAACTTCCAAAGAAAGGAGACTTAAGTCAATGTAAAAACTGGCGTGGAATTATGGTTCTGTCCATTCCAAGCAAGATACTAAGTCGCATCATCCTGGAGAGAATCAAACAAGCCCTAGATGAAAAACTTCGTCCGGAACAGGCAAGTGAAAAGTAAAAAGTTGGCAGAAGAAGCACCAAAGATAGGACTTCACGTGAACATAGATAAAACAGAGATGATGAAGATTCCTGGCCAACACCAACAGCAACATCACCACCACCAACAACAACAGACAACAATCAGCATAAGTGGGAAGAACCTGAAAGAAACAACCTCCTTCACCTACCTGGGAAGCATCGTCTCAACTACAGGCGGAACTGACGAGGACATCAAAGCTAGAATCGGAAAAGCAAGACAAGCTTTCATTACTCTCAAATCTGTGTGGAGGTCAACAGCACTCAACATCAAAAATAAGATCCGGATTTTCAACTCCAATGTGAAGTCAGTGCTACTATACGGATCAGAGATTTACACTGCGTGTCATAAAGAGCATCTCAAACGAACTTCAGACTTCCATTAACACAGCAGGAACCGATTGTGAAACAAATAGGCAGAAAGAAATGGAGATGGATTGGCCATACGCTGAGGAAACCATCAAGTGACATCACTAGACAAGCCCTCGAGTGGAACCCGAAAGGGAGGCGGCGAGTTGGTCGTCCAAGGGTGACTTGGAGGAGGTCATGCGAGGAGGAGATGAAAGCATGTGGACAGACCTGGAGCAGGGTGAAAAAGTTGTCAGAAAACCGAAGGCAATGGAGGTGCGCAACTGAAGCTCTATGTTCTTCTAGGAACTAAAGGATACAATAATAAATAATAATAATAATTATTATTCCCCTGAGTTCCGAGTAGAACATCATAGAGCAACGGATCGTTTATTTCGGAAATCAACACATATTTATAGATTTTCATGTACATTATTATAGATTATTGTTAGCAGAAAAACACAGTCTTCTGATTGGTGGTTTCTTGCTGAACGTAAATCTTTCATCTGTTTGTGCCAATTTTTATCCGCCTACGTAAAGTATGCTGTAACTGGTTGTTGAGTCAGTTTTTGTTCTTGTTCTTTTCTATGACCCATGTTGGGGACGTACAGATTGACGTGCGTCAGTGGCATGGCGGTTAGGACGCTCGCCGACTATGCACATAGTCTGGGGTTTGATCCCCGGCCGCCAACACACTTCTTTACCTCGCTAAGCCAGAAATAAGGCTGGTAAAGAGGGAAGGTTGGGCATGAGGCTGGATAGCAACCCCATCCTATAGAATTAAACACTGCTACAAAAACTTCAAGCCACTAGCTTAAAAGTGCCCTATGTACCAATGAGGAATGTGAAGGGAAAAACACACATTGACGTAAATTACTATCTTCCAATTTTGGCTAGCAGCCAATCCTCACAACAATACGATCTGCATTATTCACTCTGGGAACCAAATCCAACTCATCGCTTCTGTTTGGAACTTTTTTTTGGTCGACTGTCTGTTTAGCGTGTATGTTGTGTCAAACAGCAGTCTGCACATTGCCTACATTCAAGCTCGCCTTCAATATCTTCTGCACATATGTTGGTTAATGCGTTCCTGAATTGGTTCGTTGCCCGATTATCTTGTTGCTTATATTTTTTGGCCGATGAAATGAACTACAGTATTCAACCAGTGAAGACAACCAATTATGAATCATACACAAGTGAGATCACAGGAATTAAAAAGCCGGTTGAGGCGAAGAAACTATTTTGAATTTCGACGATGTCATCAGCTAGTCTGTACGTTAGTGGCTGGTGAAAGAAATACTGTCGAGATACAACTTCGGGGATATATATATGTTCGATTTTGTTGATTCAACTCAGAATGTCAACTCGATGTCGTCTCTCTCCCTCCCTCCGTCTTCACCAATGTCCCACTGACAGAAATATTATGCATTCTGTGTGACTTTACTCATTCCTAACACATCGATGCTGGTATACCATTCGATTATCTAAAGGAGGTGTGACTACGATCCACCTTCAATGTCTAGTTTATATTCAGTAAATGGGTTCTTTCCAGGGACCCCTCTTGAATGGCTAATTCATGGCTAATGTAGAAAAGAAAATTCCTTATCATCAACTATCGACGACCTCCTTCTCTACAAAAGATATATTCCATAATACTCTCATCACTTATGATGGAGACATTCCTCTCAGAAACCAACTGCAAACATTCAATAACACCTCACAAATACATCGAATTCACTATGAAAGTTGAATCTGACTCAATTTTCCACTTCCTTGATGTTCAACTGTGGAGAAATGCTGACAATTCACCGAGAAAATCCATCTACAAAATGCCCACATGCAACAGGCAGTTTATCAACTTTCAAAGTTGTGTTCCTCTAAGCAGAAAGAAAGACAGCTAATATGCTCTCCTTCCTTGAGGATCTGGAAAATATGCACTGAACAGTCAATTGGAGAAGAATTCTGTGATCTTTGAGAGACTTTGATAGAAAATGGTTTCACACAATAAGCTTCATAGGCAAGAATCTGAAAGCAGACGGAAGGCCTCAAAAGATTCAAGTTGCCCCAAACAGAATATTGATAGTTAACCTCAAACGTAAAAGTAACACCCAATCAGGACTTGTCCGTAAACGGCTTCCAAAGTCTTTCGAAGTAAGACATACTTCGACACCAGTCTACCAACGGCATTATCTAACAAGAAACTATTCAACCAGCACTTGTGAGACAAGCTGTCACACTAGGCCACCATTTCAACATACATATACCAGTTCACTTGCTCGTGTGGAGTATAGTACATCGGCCGTACCATGCATCCACTTGTAAACCGCTCTCAGGAATACTAGCCAGCGTGGATGGGAAAGGGAGAATGTAGACGTGTCTGTAGTTCGGTAACAGGACATCTTGTCAATTCAGGACATTCAACTACATTTGATGAGTAGTCCTTCAAAGCAATATACAAGATCCGATTCAACCCTCAAAGAGAGAGAGAAAATCAAGGTATCTGGGAATTGCTGTAGCACTAGCTTTCCAAAATTTCAAGTCCACGCAATATAACCAAAAGAAATAAGTCCAACCATTGTCTCTCCATGGTCATCACAAAATGTCAGTCCTACCATTAATGATTATCCACTTACCTGTCTTATCCAACCCTTCCGTTTATTTCTGTTATTTTTCCCCTTCTTAATTCCTCTCTGGATTACTAGACTTGAGTTCTTTTTATTCGAACATCCTGCTCTATTTTGTTATCACTATGTTTCTGATCCCTAATTGCACAACTAGTCAAGTTTTTCAGGAATTATGATCCTACTGTGTCTTTTCTACCTGATATTCCTGTTTAATACACCTTGTAATTTTATTAAATTTGATCCTTGATCGACCGGAAAAATAGTTCTGTAACTTTCTCAACCAACCATCTACTCTAGAAATACACACGAATGTACCGTTATCATCTAGTTGATGACTTTGTCAAAAAAGAAAGTTTTATCCGCTGTAACCGTTTCTCAATTTTAATAACAACTAAATGATATTTAATTATCTATCGGCCTCACTTTCTGAGGTTCTTGTGTGGTGAGAGCAGGCTGCTAGCCAAATTGGTAGACATTAATCTACGTCAATGTCTAGGTCACTAATATTAGCCGTGAGAAAATATGAACAAAGCTGATTCAACAACCAATCACAGCAAACTTAACGTGGGCAAATATGATTCGGAGATAGATGGCTCCACTTTTCGATGATTACCTGAAACAACCAAACAGAAGCCTGCGTTTGTCTGCTTGAATGAGCTATAATAATGTACAGGAAATATATATAAATAAGTGTTGATTTCCGTAATAAAACGATCTGTTGCCTGGCCCTTGTCTTCTGTTGTTACACTTGTACTTTCTGTTTCCAAAAATTTTCGATTATTCTCAAATAAAATAAATGAAATGATACGGAGAATTTCAGAGTAAAGATTGTAGTATTTAACACCATATTTATGGAATATATTTTTTTCTGTGCTGTTAAGTTTCTGTTTCGATTAGATGGTCAAGTTAAACTTTAAGCATCACTAGCTGTCACTGGAGTGTGACCGCACCTGTGACCTTGAAACATTCCCTAAGCAAATTAGTGAAACCTGACAAATAATGTTTTCACCATCAATAAAACATGCTTATCGAAGTGTTATGTTATTAAATGGGATATCTGGCAAGTTTCAACTTATGTTTGAGAAAGATTAAGTTACGCTTTAAGCCAAGGAAAAGTTAGGGTTCACCAAGGTGATATGATATGATTATGAGCAGTAATAAATTGTGCTCGAAATATCATCAGTAAACATTACTGTATAACAACACTGTAAGACTTTATCAAAACAAAAATTTACCCATAATTAAGCAACAAGTGACTCCGGGAACGAGCTAGTCAAGTACCTATTGCTTAAAATACGCAGAAGAAAGTGGAAGGTGGTTTGGACGCACTCTGTGGAGACTTTTGGGTAATTGAAATCTCTCTCTCTCTCTCAGTACAGGTTATTGCTCTAGTGAAACGCAAATGGGAAGTCAACGGTGAGTTGGGTGTGTTTGGGGGTTGACAGCCCATAGGCGATTGTGAGCTAGCTAAAGAGAATACAGGAGAGAACAGGATGAAATCGCGATGTTCTGCTGATGACGCCCTGTGTTTCATCCAGGATCCAAAGAAATAATGATGATCATAATAATAGCTTGGTATACTCGTTATCTCATTTGATATCAATTAATGATGGGCTAATGTCTTCATTAGACGGCAGTAAGACAAGGCTGCCTACTATCGCCAATGGTTTTCGTGATTCCGGTTGACTGGATAATGCGACGGACAAACAGCGGTAGGCAATGAGGAGACAGGCATGAAATGGATCCACACAAAACACTTGGAGGATCTAAACTTCGCCGATGCGATATATGTCTGATTTCCCACAAACTGGAAGATATGCAAGTGAAAAGCAACAAGCTGGCCATAGAAGAAGCATCAAAGATAGAACTTCAGGTGAACATAGAGAAAACAGAGGTTATGAAGATTCGTGGGCAACAACAACAGCAACTACAATAATAACAGACAGACAACAATCAGCCAGTATAAATGAGAGGAACCTGAAAGAAACAACCTCCTTCACCAACCTACCTACGTGGGGATCAACGTTTCAACTACAGGCGGACGGAACTGACGAGGATATCAAAGCGAGAACCGGAAAAGCAAAACAAACTTTTATTACTCTCAAGTCTTTGTGCAGATCAACAGTACTCAGCATGAAAATCAGAATAGGATCCGTATTTTCAACTTCAATGTGAAGTCAGCCAGTGCTATTCACTATACGGATCAGAGACTTGCACTGTGCGTCATAAAGAGCACCTCAAACAAACTACAGACATTCATTAACAGCTGTCTTCGCTCAATACTCAAGATCACTTGGCTGGTCAGAAAAGATCAGCAACAGGGATCTCTGGATATGAGCGAACTAACCCAGCAGGAACCGACTGTGCAACAAATAGGCAGGAAGAAATGGAGATGGATTGGATCGGCCATACTCTGAGGAAACTATCAAGTGACATCACTAGTCAAACCCTCGAGTGGAATCTGTGAGGGAAGCTGTGAGTTGGTCGTCGGTGCAAGGGTGACTTGTAGGAGGTTATGTGAAGAGGAGATGAAAGCATGTGGGCAGACTTGGAGGGAGATGAAAACTTTAGCAGAGAACCGAACGCCGTGGAGACTTGGGCGGCTGAAGCCTTATGTTCCTCTAGGAATTAAAGGAAATAATAATGATAATAAATGTCTTCATTAATTTCGCTTACCTCTTGTGTATAAAATCGATGACAACTGAAAGCCTCTGGACTATAGGTGAACAGATTGTGCGGCATTAAAAATATTGACATTGGTCCACCACTGGTCACTGTATTCGGTAAATCCTCGTGTCTTGGTATATGATAATTACCAACTGTTAACCATAATACAAGATCCTATAAAGAGAAATATGAAGAGAGAGAATCTAATTACACGAAGCGTAGACTATAAAAAATTCATTTCTGATGTGGTTGCCTCCTCTGAGCTGGATGATTTAATATAGTTTTATTTTAATTGGACACCAGTCAGTAACTAGTGCGATATGTCTAGTCCTTTCTTTGGTGCAGACGGAATTCTATCGTCAGTCAAGTTTGCAATAGGGCCATCATACTGGGTAACTTACCATTATGGTACACATTGATTTGATGATCTTAGATGGTTAGAGGCAATCGGCGGCAGGAGATCTTGGAAACCACCTAGGTTTCGTGCTAATTGGCATCCAGCAGTCAGCAAGGCGTTTCTGCAACCTTAGATAGGATAGACACGTATTCCTTCTGAAATTCGAACCCAGTATCACCCAGTGATAGCTGCAGTCAGAGACTTTATTGCTGACGAAGGCCGCCATCATCTAATATGACTTTATATTGAAGTCTTTACTGAAGGTGTTGTCCAAAGCAATAGATCTTCTTTATTATATTCAAAACATTCACAGTATTATTATTATTATTATAGTCTTGCGTTCTGAGTGGAACATCTCCAATTTGTTCGGTTTCCTCGCGTCCTCTTCACCACACGACAATCAGTGATATGGCTGGGCCAAAATCGTCTTTCTACATGACTTGCACAGATACATTCTTTAATCTTTGTGATGATTTATCGTGTCCAATAAAATTCTATTGTTCTTGCATATTACTATTCCCTTTTTGTCCCATATCTGTGTTTATTATATCTGTCTTTTGAATCTCTCTCTCTCTGCTCTTTTCTATTACTTTGTGTGCTATACGCAGGGAGCATGGTGACTAGAACTGCCGTATATCTCTATGCGAAATTCTACATTGAAAACAGTCAGTCAGGCGTCAAGTTTAATATTCTTAATAATCAATTAACTCATTAAAAATGCCAATTAAAATTTTTTTTCAAAAGAATGGATAGATACTGAACAAAGAGTACTCTTTTTGATAACCTCTTCATCATCAGGCTCTACAGTTTTGTATATACATTATAGTGAATGAATGAATGAATGGATTAGTGTTATGAACAACAACAACATTAATGTTGCTGTTTAAATATTGATAAATTACAGCTCAATAGCATCAACATAACAATAAACACTGAATGTCAGAAAAAATTAGGAAAGATAATATTACAAATTCATGAATTTATAGTCTCTACTGAAGGCCAGCTAGGGCAGTGGTAGGGGCTAGCTGGACTTGCTTCTTTTGAACACCGAGCACTGGTTGTTTGAGGCGAATTGCAATAGCCTCTGATGTTTGGAGAATGCAGTGCTTCGATGATTTTGGCAATATATTCAGGCACCCGGTAGATAATGATAGAGAAGGATTCTTCCACGCTGGGTGGCTGGCTGGTTTTGTGGCCGGTTTGCACCACAGGGTTCAATATCGAACCGTTAATGGTGTTTTTATTACACCTTTACTTAGCCATACGGGGAGATGTTCTTGAGGGAGCACGAAAAATCAAGTTCCTAAAGCAATGGCTAATATAACTCGCACTACCACAAACGCAGTTGAATTGGTAGATACAATTTGAAGTGGTTAGCTGGTCTAGGTACTTCATCTATCAGTCGAGGTAGCACCATCAGTCGTGTAGAGAATAATACGTGTAGTTCGCCAGTATTGAAAGTTCTTTGAACTGATTTTCTTAATTTCATCGTGATTATCTCACTTGGTATATCGCCCTTGAATTGTAGTCGGATATAAGGTGACTTCTTGTTTACAGATAGTGAGTAGTCCTTTTCCACTTACTTTGTCATGTGTTTCTTGATAAATTTTTCGGGATCACTGTTTTAGATCAAGTATCATATACAATTTAATTGGTGGTTGGTGACTAGCAGTGGAATCCAGGATGTGCATTTCGTCCTATTTGGGACTTGTCAGCTGGATGTCAACCTGAGACCGAGCACTTCGGTCCAATCAGTCGACGGGAAAATTTCAAATTCAATTAAATATATCATATAAAATGCTTAATTCATCTTCAATTACTTCTTCTGAGCATATAGCTTTAACTAACTCTGTGGCTGAGGGTCTCCACTAAATTTCAATGTACTCGATAGGAACGAAGCTGTCAAAATGTGTATATTGTCCTGTCCCAGTACGTTTCCTTTAAAAATTTCATTTTAGGTTACAATCTGGTTTTATTGTAAGTAGAACATCCAGGAAGGCAATTCATTCTGTCTTGGGATTCCTCTTCGCATGTGAATTTCATATAGCCGAATGAACTTCATTGAATTCAGTAATTATTTACTCCTATCCGAATGATTATCACAATGAATGAATGAATAAATAAACTATTGATTTTCTAAACATATAGGAGTTGTTTATTTCTATAAACGCTTTTTATAGAATTTTATTTTTCAACAATTTTATAACATAAAGCTTAGTGTCCTATTGTTTTATTTTTATGATTCTTCATGTTGTATACTGATGGTACTCCTAACTATGACGGATTAGATTATGTGAAAGACTGTGGGTAGCTAGAGGACAGGAATACGTTGAATGAATTAGAAAATCTAAAAGATCTGGGTTTAGCAGATGACAGAAGCCAACAAGTTGGCAGAAGAGGCGGGTGGGCAGGCAGGATTCGACTTCAGATGAACATAAAGAAGGCAGAGAGATGCTGAAGAATAACCAGTCAACTACAAAAGAAGCGCCAGTTACCATCAGTAAGCGAAATTTGGCTAGGGCAGCATCCTTTCAACAACAGGTATGTAGTAAGAATGAAAATATTAATGCGATTAATGGAAGGAGGAGACAGTCAGATCATTCTGATATGAGTTTGAAAATCTTTTGCATTCAATGACAAAAGAAAATTCATATTTCCAATACGAATTTTAAGTCAATCAATTCTTCTGTATGGGTCAAAAGCTTGGCTAACGTGTTACAAAACGCTGACTGTTTTCAAATGAATCATTTAGGGCTTCCTCTTACCGAATCTTATTCCTAGTGGTATTATTCTGTCTGTCTGGATTCAACGTAGAACTTGAAACTGAAGTGCACCAGTTCGAGTTGCCACGTTCCAAATACCACACAAAGGTGGACAAGAAGATGAGTGAAGAGAATCAATAGAGTTTGACAAATATAAGAGTGAAACAGAATGGGTAATGGTAGAAAGGAATATGAAAGATTAAAGAGACTGAATACATGTGCGCCGGCCATTGACAACGATTTTGAGCCATGTCACCTATTGTCTCCAGCCATTGATTCCTAGAGTCAGTCCCGAGGGCCCCAACCTGGAAGTCTGCATCTCCCTCCCTACCTGAGTCATTTTAACTGTCAAGGATTTCATGGGTTGATGAGGCCATGTTTTTGTTTGGCCACCACTGGCTCTTTTCCAACCTGCACCTATCTCAGCTAGCAATGCCCGTCGGGGGAGGCGATGGTTAGGCATGCGCACCACCTGACCTAGCCATCTCAGTCTATGTAGCTTTATAACCTCGTCGATTGATTTTCCCTGTTTGCCCAACACTCTACGCCTAACGTCAGCATTACTTACCTTATTAAACACCACCTAACGTGAGACAGAGATCGTAGACATCTATGATCGAAAGGAGTCAACCTTTTCATGTCTTCAACTCGTATTGGCCATGTTTCAGAGCCATAGAGACGGACGGAGCGAACTGCTGAGCAGTACACACGTCCCTTGGTTGATAGCCGGATGTCACGCCTACGCCAGAGATGGTGTTAGTCAGCGAAAGCAGCTCGAGCTTTTTGGATCCGTGCTGAGATTTCTTTGCCAATCACTCCGTTGGTGCTGACACAACTTCCGAAATAGGTGAAGTGGTCAACATGTTCTATCACTTCACTCCCTATCACTAAGCTAGGAGTTGACGTAGTGCAGTCCTGTAGCAGCATCTTACATTTTGTAGGGGCGAATCGCATGCCAAACATACGAATATTGCTGCTCAAGGTGTTCAGAAGACTCTGCATTTTGTCAGCATCCTCCCCTAACAGGACTATGTCATCTGCATATTCTAAGTCCATAAGACTGTTCCCTGGTAACAAGTCGATTCCTAAGTGGTTACGTTCAGTTAAGGATACTTCCATTAGCATATCTATGATGAAGTTAAACAGAAATAGGGAGAGTGGACATCCTGTCGGACACCACTGGTTGTTACCAATTCAGATGACAATTCCCCATAAGCCCTTACACGATTACATGAGTTTGAATGGAGTGCCTTGATTAGTGCAATGTACTTTCTTGGCACTCCCTTCACAATCAGACATTGCCATAGTACCTTTCGATCCACAGAGTCGAAGGCCGCCTTCAAGTCAAGAAATAGGGCAATTGTTGGATGCAGTGGTATAATTATCATTACTAGTCTTATCAGAGATATTATCATCCAATCTGTCGTTCGAGGATCCATAAAAGTTGTAGGAGTGAAGCATTCAGTGTTACTGGTTAGTGGGTATCCGGAAAACGCCCCTATGAAGTCACAGTGAAGAGATAATGTCTGTTGAAAAGAGAGTTTCCGCAATGAAGGAAGCTAACTTTATTAAACTACTATTGAAGGATGAACAAATTATGCCATTCATTTTTTGATTACAGCCTGATTCCACACCGTATGTTTTGGTACAAGTATGAAATTTTCAACATGGATATCGGTAGCCCATATTTTGCAGGCCGACCATCATCAGGTGTGTGTCGGCAGGGGATCGAACCTCGGACCATGTGCATGATCGGCGAGAGTCCTAACCACTGTGCCACAGACGCACAGTTCAAAGGCTTCAGTGAGATATCGAGAGCATATTCTACTCCGATCCCCCTTTTCCTTATATCTGGAACATTTTTAAATTCATGTGCCTATGATTAAAGGATGAAATTCTGTGGACTCTACTTCACACGGTATCTAAATTAAAAATCATAATAGTAATAATAAATATATCTTTATTCTGGACAGTATTTATAGACCGTACAGAATTTTCAGAGGAGTGTATTGCAT